TGAGCACCGGGCGTGCACCCCGCGTCCCCGCAGCACATGCGACCCAGGTGCCCCATCATCAGCACAGGTCTGCGCGGGGACCTCACCCCACCTCCCACCCAGCCTCTCCACAGGGGTGAGCTCAGGGCACCCAGGCTGCCAGGGCAAGGACCGCGCCGGTGCTCTGCCTGCACCCGCCTGGCCACGGCTGCCAAGGATGGGCAGGGCCGGTGGGGTGGCAGCACATGGGGCCGTACGGCTTCATGTTGAAGAAGTCCTTGATGCCCTCAGGGCTGACGGGGCTCTTGCTCTTGTTCTTCTCAGCGACAGACTTCTCCTTGGTCCAGGTGAGATGCACCTTCTCGGGGGCCGTCTCCACCTCGTCGCCAGGGGACTGGGAGCTGCTGGAGAAGGTGGTGGTGTTTTTGTCATGGATGAGCTGGACCTGCAGAGAGGAGAGACAGAGGGTGGGCTGGGGCCAGGGCTGGCCACCTGCCCGGGCCCCGTCCTGGCGCAGCCCCTCACCTCCTCCTCTGGCTTCTCCTCGCCATCACCCACTTGCTCCTCCGGGACGCTCAGGCGCAAGCGCGTGTTGGCCGGGTTCTTGCGCCGGATGGAGCCACGGGACTCGTCTGTGATGCTCTGGATCTGTGCAGGATGGGGTCAGCCAGGGGAGTGGGGCAGAAAAGGGCTTGGCCAGGCAGCCCTCAGCCTGCAGCCCCGGCTCCCCAGCAGGATGAGTGCACAGAGCCACAGGGCAGCTCGGCCGGCGGCTCAGCCAGCACGGGGGCTGTGTCCCACCCAGGCTGTCCCACATCCTCACCTCTCGCTCCCGCTCATTCTTGGTGAGGTGCATTTGCTTAAGGATCTGGGAGCGCTGCTCCATCACCAGAGTCTTCTCGTAGGTGTAGGCGGAGATGTCGCTCTCGTGCTGCAGTGGGGAACAGGAGCAACCGTGGGGCAGGGTGAGAGGCACTTGCTGCCCCCAGCCTGGCCCCCGTGTCCCTGGGGAGCTGCGTGTTCCCCTCCCGTAGTGCTGCACATTCCGGTGGTGCTGTGTCCCCCCGTGGTGCTGTGTTCCCCCGTGGCAGCGTACAGTGTCTGGCTCTCCCACACGCAGCATCCCAGGCTGCAGGACATGCCCCCCCGTCCCAGCACTCACCATCTCCACCACCTCCACCTCCGCAGTGATGCGCAGGTGGTAAAGGAACGTGGTCAGATCCTTCTTCATCTGGATGCTGTTGTCGTCCATCTGCGCCACCGTGAAGATACGCATCTTGCACTTGCGCCAGACCTGCGAGGGAGGGAGGCATGGGCAAGGCTTGGTGGGGACGGCCCCCCCAGCCCCCTGCGCCGCGGAACCCGCGCTACCTTGTGGTGCCGCAGGAGGAAGGGCAGCAGCATGAGCATCCCCCCGTCATGGACGATCCACCAGACATCAATGTGGCCCTCCGAGAACCGCTC